CCCCCAGGTACAAAGACCGTTGCAAGCACAGGATACGAATGTCAAAATACCACTAGTCAGCCACCTCCGTTGTGATATACGTTGGTCGTTTTCTCAACCGGCGCCCCAGAAAAATTGGAGCGTATCTGCACACGCCGGAAGCGGTTGTGGTTGAGAGGCGATGTCCTCCTCACTTCCTGCCGGATTGGAGGAGGCGGCGGAGAGAGGACGCCACGGAAATGAGTGGGGGGCACTCAAACTACGCAGCGCCGAATGCGCCTGCGCGCACATGCGGTAGAGTGCAACCAGGTCTAGGTGGATGGTATATGTGAACAGCGTAACCCCAGGCCACCTTCGTACGGCATCTTAAGTTTGACAGGGGTACCTCGGTGGCCCATATCGCCAAATACTGTACAAGTGATACGTCATGTTGCATGTCCCACCGCCTGTGCAGAGTATGAGCCGTCAGCCCCCGGAATCGCATTAAACGCTAGCTCCTCAACCATGTCGAATGGCCCCAGAAGCGCTCACAGGGGGCCGCAAGGGCCGGACGGCTCCATCCCTGTAGGGGGGACGCGTGGGCCTGCTCAGCCGTGGGGAGGATCGCCGTCCTGCTGGAGAAAGGGGAATCAGTTCCACAGCAGGGCAAGGACCATGCACTGCGCCCACCCCCTGTGCAGGAGGAGGAGGAGGAGGAGGAGGAGGAGGAGGAGGAGGAGGAGGAGGAGGAGGAGGAGGAGGAGGAGGAGGAGGAGGGGAGGGAGGAGGAGGAGGAGGAGGAGGAGGAGGGTGAGGACGAGGGGGAGGAGGAGGGGGAGGAGGAAAAGGAGGAAGAGGAGGAGGAGGAGGAGGAGGAGGAGGACGAGGAGGAGGACGAGGAGCACGGGGGGGGGGCCTCCCCCCCTTGCGCAGGATGATGAGCGGAGGACAACTGACAAGGAGGAGGACGGAGGAACAGGAGGAAGGGTGGTTTGTCGCTATGTCGTCGCCGTCTCCGTGTCCTTCCCCCGCCCCCGCCGGGGACCTAGTTTCCTCGCCCTGGGGACTGCCGCTGGGGACGGGGTGGGTGGGATGGCAGCGCTGAGTGTCAACACTCATGCCAGCAACGACAGCGACATGGGAGTGTGTGTGTGTGTGTGTGTGTGTGTGTGTTCTGGATGGTGAATGCTGGGCTCCTCGGCGCACGCTCAGCTCCAGCCCCCACCGCACGTGGTCAGATGTTGCGTTCATGCGCGGCCGCTTCTCCGCCTGGCACAGCACTCCTTCGTGATGCCATCGGCGACGCACTTGAACATCCAGAATCTGGCCAGACTTAGGTGGCGACATCCGAACCCCTGATCCACCAACAATCGATGCTCCTGAATCGATGGGGAGGCGGGGGTCGGATTCGAGTTTCGCCACCTGTCCGACGATCGAACCCTGCCCCTGCCGCCCATCGAACTGCCTGCTTCGTTGATCGGCGAGGGTGGGGTTCGGATGTTGCCGCCGAGGAGTGCGCATGCCTTGCGCGTGCCCTCGGACTCCCTGCAGTTTGGCGACGCCATCGCCCGAGGACGACGACGACGAGGACGACGACGACGAGGACGACGACGAGGACGACGACGAGGACGACGACGACGAGGACGACGACGAGAACGACCACGACGACGACGACGACGACCACGAGGACGAGGACGACCACGACGACGAGCTCGCGCGACGATGACTCCCCCTGCAGCTCGGCGACGCCACCGCGGGCGGGCGGCGGGGCGGCGGCAGCAGAGAGTAGCTCCTGCACATAGCGCGCGGGCCCCGGCCCGCAGAAGCTGCCGAAAGGCTTGCAGGAGACGCTTGCAAGCAAGCGTAGCAGCATGCCTGGCGAGCTCGGGAACTGGAGTTTGGGAGCTGCGCGCGAGAGCAACGATCCGAAGCTTCTGTGTCGGAGCTGCGCGCGAGCTCAAGAAGAGCTTCACGGGAGCCGCGCAATGGCTTCTGGCACGCGTACGGGGAACGGGTGAGAAAACGCCTCCGGGACACGCTGCGACTTCAAGCAACTCGCGGAGAAGAATCTGGCGTTGCCCTGACTGCGGGATTCTTCTCTAACACCCCTTTTGGCTCTCAGAACGAGCTATCTGGGAAATATGGCGCGGCCGGCAATGCCAACTCTGCCGTCGGGGGGCCCTGCACGCGCCCAGGAGGCCCCGGAGTGCATGCGCAGCATCGCAACCCTCGCCAGCACGGGCCCAAGCTAAGGGCAGCGCTGAGCGCACCGGCGCGATCAACGACCAACCAATCCGCTGTTCGCAGATGGGCTTATGTTGTTCCCATCCTACTTGAAGACCACATCCCAGAAATAATTTCGAGCATCCAGAGTGTCAAAAGAGTGTCGAAAGAGTGTCGAAACAGGGTCGGGCGAGTGCCTCCCAGGGCCCGACACGTGAAAACGCTTGAGTTCCGGTACTTTTTTGGGCGCTCGAAGTTCTTCCTGGCGGTCAAGGCTAAAGTAGGTTGGAGCATCATCAAGATGGGTACAGTCGGCGTGGACCGGGGACGGGCTGGCCTTGAGGAGGCAGATCTCGGTGCTGGGGAGCGACGCGCCAAGGGCTCCCTCCCGTGGAGGGGCATCGATAGGGAGGAAACCAGCTCGGGAAGGGGGAGAACATCGAGCCAGAATCGGCGGCGCATCGCCGAAAGATCGGCGACAGGGCCCCGATAACAGAACCCCACGTTCCTTGGCGGGGTGGGCCATCGGGCACCCATCAACGATCAATTGGCCGTCGGGGGCTGATGCGACCCCTCCTCACGCCGCCCCTGATCTGGGGAAGCGGCAACGCGCGAACCGCTCCCTCTCGCCGCCCGAGCAGCCAGCGATCCTCTCGGCGCGGCCGGCCAAACGGCTCGTCTGGCAGCTGCTGCCTTCCGCTTGCGCTCGGGGGTGCCAGAACCGCCGCGGGTTGCACCGAGGAGTCTTTGCCCCTTCGGCGGCGGCTCGTGGTTTCGCGTCCATCGGCCAGGCTACGCTGGCACCGAGTCTGCGTTCGCTCTGCCATGACGCGCAGCGCCGTGGGCCCGTGTAGGGCGACAGGACCTATGGCAGATCCACCGCCGTTTGCCTCGCCAGGGGCGCTGGACATGTGTAGATCTCGTCGCCCGATCATGCGCCCCCGGCCGCTCCGCCGGCGGGCGGGGGCAAGGCCAGCCCCTCGTCGGGCAGGTCTGCCAGGCCTCTGTGCAAGGGGTGGCCTGGAGCAGCTCTCCACGCTCTTCGCTCGGCGACGCACCGAGGGGGGGAGGTGAAAGGGGGCAGGCCTTCTCAGACTGCAGCGGTGCTTCTCAGAAGCCCAGACCTTCGGATAAGAGGGTTGGGAGGGACCTCTGGGGACTCATTTGAAGCTCTTGTGGGGCCCTGTTGGGGCTCTGTGTGAGCCCTTTTGGGGCTTTCTTGGGGCTTCTCTCACGCGGAGCAACTTTGAAAAGACAACGGTGCAGGCCCACGCCGTCGAGGAATTCAGAACGCCCAGCGAACGAGCCCCCCAAGAGGCCCCCAAGCGGCCCCGAAGCGGCCCCCTCGAGGTCCCCAAGGAGCTCCAGGAGGCCTCCCGAGAGCTGGCAAGAGGCCCCAAGATGCCCAAGCGACCTCTAAGAGTTCAGGGCAGCTCCGCTGGGCATCGTGTCTGCATGGGCTGGTGAGGATGTGTTCCCCGGGAGGCGACCTTCTTTCGTGTTTCCAAGGGAGCCCCAAGGCGCTCTCAAAGAAACCCCAGAAAGCCCAACAGGACACCGAGATTGCCAAGACGGCATGAGAGTTCTTGCATGGGAAGCCTCCAAGCACACCAAACTTGTCCTCCATTCTGCACAGGCGGCCTCCAAGATGGCGGGGAAGACGTCTCAGAGTGTCTCGGACAGCCGACAAGATGGCGCAAGTGGTCTCCAAGGAGCCCCAAGAGGCGCATCAAAGCATCCCCAGAGATCTCAGAAATGCTTTTAATCCTGAGGGAGCCCCCAAGACCGTAGAAGAGGCCCACGAGATGGCCCAGCAAAGGCCCCAAGAGGCACAAGAGAGCTTTCACAACCGACCGACGACACTCTCCAGTCACAATCGGAAACCCATCAAGAGGGTGCAATACTACATTCAGTTTGACATGGTATTTTCTCATGGTAAGCAACTTTCCTCGTTCTCGTCCTCCGTTTATTTACGCCCGATCAGAGTAGACCATACCACACCACGCAAATGCAGGACACAGCATGTCACAATGTAGCGGGCCAGGCCAGACCGCACAAGAGCGACACCGTCACGCCTAGGCCACAAAGGAACGCGTCACAACAAAGCCGGCATCACCAGAACTGACCGCGTTAGATGAGGAGTTGCCCATGTGTCCACACTTCTGGCGCGAGCCGAATTCGGGCACATGATGGCATGAGGGAACTTCAAGTGAAGAGTCGGTGCAGGAGGGGCACGGGGTGGCGTAGGGGCATGGTGGATCAGAAGGAGGCGTGTGTATAAACACCATGGTCAACGAACACCTCGAGGGGAGAAGAAACGGAGGCCAGGGAATAGACCGAGCACGAGGAAGATAAGCCACTTGTGTGACCGCGCTTCTTTCGGTTGCCAAATGTGGACAACAAAAGATCGCCAACTGATGGAATCAGCTTCCGTGTCACACAGTGCCTAACAAGACCAGACCAACACAAATGACACAGCACCCGAAAGCTCCAGATTAGACAGCGCATGGCCATATGATATCAGACCGCACCAAGAAAGGCCAGAACACGCCAGACCAGACCTCAGGGAATGTCGACACTGGTCGCTTGGTCGCTGGATGAGCTGGTGGGGGCTCGCAAAACGTGTAGAGTTCGCTCTCCTCCAGGGACTCACCCGAGTCAGCCTCCACACCAGAAGTTGAGCATCCTGCGCATCCTCCTTTGCGAACTGTGCCCTATCGACTTTGCACGACAGATCGATGCCCTCGCTGTAAGCCGTGGGGGTGCCTGTCAGAACCGAGAGAACACAAGGCAGACAATGAGGGACGATAACCTGAAGCAGGAGGGGGAGAAGAGGAGGACGCACCGCTGTGTAATAGAAGAATGGCTACAGTATAATCGATGGCTGCCACCTCGGCTCGCTGACCAGACCTCGGAGGCCCGCAAATCGAACACATAGAATTCTATAGGCGCCTCTCGCCAGAGAAGGCTCCCAAACCAGCTTGGGTCATGAGGAGTAGCGCTGGTTCCTTCCCATCGGCCTGCGCCTTGACCCCGTGTCACTCCTCACAGATGAGGGTGGGGGTAAGGCGGAAAATGGGGAATGATGCCAGGCAGGTTCAGACTTGCTGGTTGTCCAAGCCTGCAGTTTTGGCCCAAGTGGGCCAGGAGCAAGCCGATTCAAAAATACCCTCGCAACGGAGGTGAGGAAAGCATACCTCTAAAACAAAATCGGTGAGAATCGATGCACTCACTCTGCGTGCCACGGCTGATGGTGTAATGCTTCACCAATTACGTAAGATAACTTCGCGGCCAACTCTGCAGTTGCCGGGGAGCGATGGAACAGTCACCTGGACGAGCGCGAAGAAGTATGAAGATGGGGAATAGGGAGGGGGGCTGGGGCAGCGCCGCCTTTCGCACCACTCACTCCTTTTTCTGGACCTTGGAGACGGCGTCGCCGATCGTGCCTTTGATCTTGTCACTGATGCCATACTTCTCATTTGTCTCGATGGCCTTGTCCACGATGTCTTTGGCGAGACTGCTACCACTGGTGACGACATTGCTCAGGGAGCTTTTGATGTTCACCTCCTTGTCCACTTTCTCGATCGCGCCGCCGACCTTGTCGATGATCTCTGCTGCCTCGGGCGATGATGCCTTCACCTTGTCGACCTGCTCGCCCACCGACTTGCCCACCTTGCGGGTCACCTCGTACTTCTGATCCACGCCGCCGATGAAGTTCAGGGTCTCCAGGCCCTTCGCGGCCACGCCCTTGAGGGCGGTGGCGGCGTCGTTGTCTGCGCCCTGGCGGACCAGGAACGCAAAGCCCACGAAGAGGAGAACGCCCAGCACAGGGCCGCCCACGAGGACGCCGGTGATGCCGCCAATGACAGAAGAACAAACAACTGCGTAAACATATACGCTTTCGATTATCCGCGCGGATGTCTTGGACCCGCGCTGCCCCCCACCCCCCCTCTCCCTGGCGCGCAGGGGGTGGCGCCAGGGGTGGCGCCAGAGGCGCCGCCGGAAGGGCCCGCCGCAGATCCGAGAAACCCGCACGGATGTTCGAAAGCTCATGCTTATCATGCCGTTTTTTGATCTTCGAAATGAGGCTCGCCATGGCGGCCGTGTTGTCCTCGTTGATGGCCACGAACTCCTCCGCAGCCGCCTCTTCGGGTGTTGCCAGAAGTGCCTCTGGCCCAAGGTGCCCCCATGATTCCCAAGGAGGCCCCCACGGCCTCCAGCACCCCCCACGAGGCCCAGGGAGCCCACAGGCTCCCAGATGGATCGCAAAGCTGGGGGCACCTGGGGCCAGGGTCGGCTCCACGCAAGAGTGATCCCAGGCAAGAGAGACCTTCGGTGCGCGGCTTTCGGTGGGCGCGGGAAGGACAAACCCGTGCGCGCAAGCCGCTGCTATCGCATCGCGTTCAGCCATCTGGGGACCCTGGCGTGCCCGCCCCAGATGTCACTCCGGCGAAAGGTTCCTCTTGCTTGTAGCGGAGAGAGGCACCTTTATAAAGGCCTCTTAGACCCCAGACCCCCGACGTCACGATTTTTTCATAGCGTCGTCTCCCAGAGGCCTCGACCCATTCCCCAGGACCGATTTCTCATCCTGAGTCGTCCTTGACGGCCCCGAGGTCCGCTGAAGGCCCCCAGAGGCCGAAAATGGCGACAATCCTCCCGCCCGACGCGATTTTCTCAGGATCCCAAGACGTCTGCGATCGTAGCACGCCCCAGTCTGCGGCCGCCTCCGGCTTCTCGGCCTCGGCGCGCTGGGGCGCGAGACCCCCGCGCCGCGCGGAGGTTGCGGCCCCGCCCACGAAGCACGTGGGTGCGAGCGCCGCGCGCAGCAGCAGCCCCCCGGCCACCAGCGCCGCCAGGCGCACGGGCGCGGGGCTGCGGCGAGGAGCGCCGGGCATTGCTCTGCTCAGACTGCGAGGGGCGAAGATCTGCTCAGACTGCTCAGCTCAGACTGCTCGGGCTCTGCTCTGCTCAGGCTGAGCAAAAGGGAGGGTAGGGGCACTGCTACATGCAGCTGGCTTCCCCGCACTCAGGCGCCGGAGGCGCCAATGCATAATAATGCATAGGAAGGAGCGCGACTGGCGGCGGGGCCGAAACCAGGTGCATGCAGCAGATTTCGTACCCCTTCTTCCCCAATCCTAAGAGGCAGCGATCGGGGGGGGGGGGGCTGGCGGAAGCATCGACCTGGAATCGGCGATACATCGCCGACAGATCGGCGATAGGCCCCCGATGGCGAATCCGCACGTTCCTGGGAAGAGGCGGCTATCAGACCCCGATCGGTGACCAGTGGACGATTGGGGGTCGATGCTTTCCGCCTACGCCTGTACCCCCGTTGCCCCTGAGACTGGCGGCGAGCCTGGGGGGGAAGCGAGGACCCTGAGGTCCAGCCGTTGCAATTGTTTGACACCGTGCGTTTTCGCTCGTCTTCAAGCCCCAGGGCCCTCATATACCGATCTGACTCGAAAAATGGCGCAGAACGTGAGGGTCTGGAGCTACAGTCGTGATGTTTCTCGATGCTGCAACTCTTTCGCAACGTCGGATCTCAGGGAACCAGAAGGCACGGAAGGCCTCAGACCTTCCGAGAGATTGTCTGTGCTTTCCCTTCGAAGACGCCGAAACAACTCCTCGGAAGGCTGGAGGGCTTCCGAGAAGCCCCGCCGCCTCCCGAGAAGGCTTGCTCCCTCCCTCTGCCCGCCGTAGGCGGCTCGCCGCCGATCAGGAGAGGAGCAGAAACCCCTGGATCGGGGCGTTGCAGTCCAGTTTTTCATGCCGGGCGTTTTTCCGCCCGGCGCCGGGCCCCAGGGCCAGCACGGATCGGTCCAGCTCGAAGGATGCCGCATGAAGATGGGGTCCAAGTCCCGGGCCGTGTTCTGTCCGCGATGTTGCAGGTGTTCAGCAACGTCGGATTTCAGGGGCAACCACCGCCACCGAAGACCCGTCTGGGGGAAGGAGGGGCGCACCCCTTTTCGGCTCGTACGCCTGGGCGTCGTCCAGTACTGGATTATGCTCGGGCGTGTCACCGCCCAGGAGCCGCCCCCCCCCGGCCCCCCGATGGGTTCTCGCCGGCGGAGGTCTCTATTTCTCCTCTGCTCTGCGGGAGGGTCGAAGGGCCGCGCAACCGTGGTCAAGCGTGGCAGCTGGTGATTCGGACAAACCTGAACCGAAACGGCTGCGGGCCGGAGGCGGCGATGATGACGATGGTAATGCGACGGCGTGCACAGGGAGATAGGGGGGACGGGGGAAGGTTTCTTATAAGGAGTCTGCTTCTGAGATGGTGTCCGCCTTTCATATGTAGATTAGGTCCGCGCCTGCTAAGAAGCAGGGGTGCATCCAATAAGCTTTCCCCTCGCCCTACCCACCTGTGCGCGGGGCCGAGGGAGGATGGCGTATTTGATGATGGCGGTGACGATCACGATGACGTTCGATTGTTTGTGACACTGCCCCACGTGGAAGTTTGCGGGAGCCCGCGTGCGGCAGGTCGTTCTAGCCTGGATCTGAGGCAGGGGGCAGGCGGAGGAGGGCAAGTAGAAGGAGGAGGATGAGGGAGTATCACCTCCATCCCTTGCCCTCTGACCAGGTAAGCGCATACTCTGTGCCTTAGCGGTCTGAGTCTTCTCTTCTTTTCCTCCTGTCGCCCAGCTGTTTTCTGCTGTGACAAGTCTCCTTCGCGGCGACGTTCGACCGCGATGCCGCCCCGAGGGGGGAATGCGGCACCCAAACAACGTTGGGCGAGGCCGCGGCCGTGCGCCAACAGCTGACACGCCAGCCCACCGCGTCAGCGGCTGGCGCGCCAGGGCGCAGGCCGAAGCACATGGGTGCCATGCCCCCCCTCGAGGGTGGTGGGTGGGAGAAAAGAAGCGCGACCGCGGTCGCGCCCGACGCGCTCTGGCGAACGGACGCCCCGCGCGTCGCCCCCAGGGTTGGTCCAGAGCCGCACGCTGGCAGACAGAGGACCACACCCCGGCCAGCCGCCCCACCTTAAGAGTGCACACTAGGCAGGTGGGGCGCCGCATACATGACCAGGTACTTGATATCCCGCCCCGTGGCCAGGCGGCAAAGAGGAGACAACGCGACCGTGCACGGAGGAGCGGAGGGAGGAAGGACCCCCGACGCACGGCCGCGCGGCACGCCAGCATGCCCTTGCGGGGCCTGGCCCGCCCGACGTAGCGGCGGCGCGTGGCGGGTGGACATGCGGGCGCCCGCCATCGCGCGGTGCGCCGACGGCGGGACACTCCCGCCTGGGAGCGTCGACTTATGACTTGCAATAACAAGTTATTACTGCCCCATAAGTCTCCTTCGCGGCGACGTTCGACCGCGATGCCACCCAGAGGGGGGAATACGGCACCGAGACAACGTTGGGTGAGGCCGCGGCCGTGCGCCAACAGCCGACACGCCAGCCCACCGCGTCAAACGACGCAGGCGGCTGGAGCGCCAGGGCGCAGGCCGAAGCACATGGGCACCATGCCCACTGCCACGGACCCAGGGGCTGAGGCCGAGCGCTGCCTCACACAGCGGGCCTGCGGCACCCGCAGGCACGCTGCCACCCAATGCCAGGCAGAGAGACGGCCGCAGACGCGTGGCCCGCGAGAGAGCGACCGATGGACCGAACGAGGGCGAACGGGCGAGCGAAGGGGCCTGGCGCGACGTCACTTGCACCGACCAAGCGTGGAATGACGTCGCTGGACGCCGGGGGTTTCCGAATCCCCACCCTCGTCGTCACTGGGCGACACGCCGAAATGCGCCTCGGCGAAGGCCTGGCGCTCCATCTTCTCAACGTCAAGATAGCGCATCCAAGCTGGCATCTGCCAGTCACCTGCCTTCAGGATGTCGGCGACTCGGCCGCCGAACTCCACAATGTCTTGGGCGCGGCCCCGACGGAATGAGTGGGTGCCGCAGGCGTCGGCGTTAACTACTCCCGTGTGACGCAGTGCCGACCGCAGCGCGTTTCGTACACCCGCGGCGCACCAGCCCGCCCACGGGGCCTCTCCAACGGACTGCGAATTGAACCGCGCGCCGAGAGCGTGTACGGGGCACGTGGCTCATGAGCGCTGACGCCAGCAATTGCGCACAATAGTTGTCCGTCTTTCCCGGTTCTTCCGTCTGGCGAGCGATAAGACGGCCGCCTCTTCGCTGATGAAAAGGCCCGCGCGTAAATGTGACGCGTCGTCGAGCGAGGCGGCCCGTTGGATGACCAGCGCTTCCGACGGGAGGCGAAGTAGATTCGCGTACGCGGTCACGAAGAGGAGACCCAGCCCGGACCCCTCTGGCAACGCGCCTGGGCGTTCCAGTAGCTGTTCCAGCACGTGCATCCGGACCGCCATGCGGGGTCGTGCCGACCAACCCGAACGCTTCTCGATAGCCAACTTGGCGCCGGCCAGCGACGCGTGCGTGAACGCTGCGTCTGCCACACGCGCGACGTGGCATGCCTTCTTCTCATGCGAAAGGTAATTGCAGAACGTCGCGCGACACCTGAACGTCGTAGACCAGAGCAAAAGACCGTCGACCGACGGCGGGAGTTCGCTGCCTTTGCGCTGCAAAACGTCGCGCGCGAACTTCACCCAACATTCGAAGCCGCTGCGAACCTGCGGTAGTGACCGTGGGCACGATCCGAGCAGGGCGCTGTTGCGGGCAACCTGGGCCCACGCCCGCCCCGCCTCGGGCTACGTGACGGCTACGGCAGCCTTCGCGATCTCGCAACGCGGATCGCCCATCTGACGCTCGAAACCTTCCGTTGCCGTACGTAGCGCACGGCGCGCCGCTGCCACTGGGTCCGCTGCCGAGCTGCGGCTGCGCCGCCGACGGGCCGTAAGCATCGCGGGTGGAGGCCCCGGTGGCGGCGTCGGCTCTGGGATGCCCTGCGCGCGCGGCCGCGCGCGAAGACGTCGCGCGCGTGCAACGCGCGGAGAAAAGCGGTCTGCGACGGACCACGCGGGGTGCCCATAACCGCACACTCGAGGAAAAGGACGATGAAGAAGCCGAGCTCGCAGAGCCCTGACTCGACGGGCGCGCCCGCGCCGCCTCGCCACCGTTGGGCCTGGCGTTCGCCCATCCTCCTTAAGAATACGCGCGGCGCGCGCGCGACCCGCGCGCCCGCGATGCGCGCCGCCTTGCGGGCGTGCCAGCAGCTCTCGCACTGCTGTCGCTGCGGTGACAGAAAGGCGTTCACGACCCAGAAAGTCATCGAACAGCGCGCCCTCGAGGTGCTGCCAGCGCGTCATCCCGTTAAACCGCAGGCAAGAGCAAACCGCGTCGATATCAGCACGTGACGCACTGGGCAGAACATTGCTCAGCTGAGCGGCGAAATCGTCGTGAGACATAATGATACAGGCTAGGTCGCGTGGACCTTGCGGCGTGAGCCCCTGCTGAGTGGCGCGCGTCAGCCGTGGCGCGCGCCGCGAGATACCCGATAGCTGGCGCCGAGTTTCGGCTGCCTCGCAGCGTAGCCGTTCTGCGAGCGCTGGCTCACCTTGTCGGGATGAGCATCGACGTCCATGACGCTGGCGTGCAGAACGCCTCGTCCAGGTGCGGATCAACTCGCACTGCGCCGAGCTGCCGCAGCAGCCCGAACTCACCCCTGGACGGATCATCTGCGATATTTTCGTCTGTCGGCGCCCGCTCCACACGTGCTAGACACCGCAATTGCGCAATCTTGACCCAGAGGCCGTGTGCGAGACAAGCGTGATCGAACGCGCGCGCGGCGCCGCTGCCGGCGGCGGCCTGCGCGCCTGTGTTGTCAGACCAGATTACGACGCGCCGACGGCGGAGCAGGTGTTCAAACGAGCACAAGCCCAGGGCAATGCTCAGCATTTCCAAGCCCATGATTTGATTATCTTCCCTGGGCTGGAACGCCTTCAAGATCCTGGCGCACGCGTGCGCGCGCGTCGCGACCAAAACTGACGCTGACCTGCGCAGCCGTGCCGGGCGGCAGGTGGCATGCACGTCCAGTAGCATTTGTTGTCAACGAACAGTACGGCGGCCGCCATGGGCGGGCGGCTGGCTGCGTCGCAGAACAGATGGGCCACGGGGCCCGCCGCTTCGTCGCACCACCTTCGTGACTGTGCCAGCTCGCCGCCCAGCACGATCAACCACCACCGCAGCACTAGCCGTAGCGCTTGCGGCATGTCGGGAGAGCCGCGATGTGCCTGGGCGTAGATCGGCCTGCCGCAACGTGGGCGTGGCAAATGGGTGCGATGCCGGCGCACGGTACAGAAAAACACACCTGGGCATGGCGCGCCCCGCGCGATTGAACATGTTACCGGATGCCCAGGCTAGTGCGCCCGCGAGTTTGCTCGCGTCACCTGGCCGCGCGCGCCGCGACGCTGCGTGGCGGGTCGCAAACTGGGTCCACGCCTGCGCGTAAGATGCCCGAATCGAGTGCCAACGTGATACGTGCTGTCCACTTAGCGATCTTGTCGGGCAGCGGAACGCACGACATCCCCTCCGATGAGAGGTCGACGCGAAGTCCCAGGATACCGAGCGGGACAGCACAGGAAATCTTCTCGTCTGCCAGCGCGGACCGGCCCAATAAGCATCTGACGATGCGCGCGATGCAATCCAGCAGGTGTTCGACCTGCCGCGCGGCGCGCGACGGCGACCGATCGGCCGGCTCGCGTGACACCCCGCGCCTCGGCCCACCTTTCAGCGCCGAACATATCGTCCACGTGACGAAGGATCGCCGCGTGGAGTACACGGCGTAGAATCGCGCATATGAAGGCGCCAACGCGTTCCCAGTTATGAACGCTTGCAACTGTGCGGGGGACAAGTGCGACGCGGTGTGCGCCGAGAGCGGACGACGCGCCTGCCCCGAATGGGCGCGCGCAGTGAGCATGCGCCGTGACCTCATCCTTGTAACGGAATATGACCCTAATCAAAGCCCGATGCTCAGGTCGCAGCGGAAGCCTCCGGAAGGCGGCGTCGATGTCGAGCTTAAACAAGCGCGGCGTAGCGGATGCCTGCAACCCGGGCGCGCGAAGGCCTTGCGGCCTTGCGACGCAGCGGCCACCGTTTCAGGAAATAGTCGGCAAAGCAGGTATAGGTGATCAACTGTCTCGTGCCGCATACGCTCACGCGGACGCGTTGCGGTGTTGATGCCGGCAATGGAGCAATCGTCCACCGCGCGAACCTGCCGCGAAGTGCGCGCGCGCGACAAACTTTAAACAACGCTTCGCGCG